TCCCCGGTGCGATTTTCATCAGTCTCAGCCCGCTATGGACATTCACAGTAAGTAAAGAGTGAACACTCAACATCATTATAATTATTTAAAAAATGAATAACATTCCAAAATTAAAAAAAGAAATATTTACTTGTTAGCGATTTCATTTAATATCTATTTACTGCCTTTTTCTCTTAGAATAATTAACTTCACTAGTTTTCGTTGTCCGCTTGACCAATTAATATCTATCAATTAATTAAAGTTTTTAGTTAAGATAAAAAAAGTAAGTGTCACGAACGGGATTCGAACCTACGATCTTCGGCTAGATACGCCGCTGCTCTACCACTTGAGCTATCGTGACTTCGATCCACTCTGCCACTAACTTCCCTTCTCAACCCCACAATTTGAATTTTCCCTTTTTTTGCCATTTTTCATCCAGCTCGTGACACTGACTTTTTATTTCAACTAAAAACTTTAATTAATTGAAAGATATACCACGAGAAATAGAAAGATTTAATTAAGGTTTGTAGTTGAGATAAAAAGTCAGTGTCACGAGTGGGATTCAAACCCGCTGCTCCACCACTTGAGCTATCGTGACCTCGATTCACTCGGACACTAACTTCCCATCTCAACCCCACCTTTTTGAATTTTCCCCCCTTTTCGCCATTTTTCAAACGTCGAGCATTCTATTTGATTCTCGGCGACAAATGAAATGGCTATTGATTTAATCGTTACCATCCATTTTCGCTTGGTATCCTCGATGGTCTGCCTGCCGAATTTCGGCTTCCTGTTATCCTCAGTGTTCTGAAGAATTTTCCCAAAACCTGTGTCATTTTCAAAACACTTAAGGATAGTTAAAACGGGGATACTCAACACAAAACGTTTTTATTACATCCCATTATTTTACAGTATATTAATCTTTTCTTAATGTCTAGCTTTCTCGTTCGCTCTCCTTATTATTTCTCTTTATTTTTTTCTCCCTACGCATGACTCTCTGTTTGTCTGTCTTTAGCTCTCTCACTTTTCTCTTACCCACTCTTTCTCATCTTCTCTTTTTCTCTTTTTATTACTACATGTCTCTCTCCATATCCCACTCTATTTCCCTGTCTTTCTCATTCCCCTCTCGTTTTTATTTTAATCTTTCTCACTCACTCTCTCTATCTATCTCAATTGTTTTTTCATTGATGCTCATTCTCTATCTTGCTGTCTTTTTCACAGGGAATTTTTTTGATGGCATTAGCTTTTGAGCCATGGTCATAGGAAGAAAAAACAGAAGGTCACACTGTTCCCGAGTCAGGTTCAGTCCATAAGAACCACCCGACATTGTTGGAGAGTATCCAAATTTGCCCTCCAGGGCATCTTTTCTAATCGAAGAATGGTCTCCTCAAAAAAAAAGGTGTGCATGTGGTGCCAGACGACCACATCTTCCTTCTATCCTGACGTCATTCCAGTGAACAGAGCCTATGACGAATTAAAAGTCCAAGTGTATTCGATGCTTTAAAACAGAACGTCTTAAACGGTGAGAAAAGTGAATTTTGTAGCCAAAAGTTCATTATGAAAAAAGATAAGGCTTAAAAAATTAAAGTTGTTAGTTCTAGAAACAGAAATACATTTAGTGACTACATTTAGTGCTATTAAGAAAAAGATTATTCAGAGGGCACCAAGTATGAACAGAAATGAAGTTGTTTTGAAATGTGATTTGGTCGTATTGGTTAATATTTTTATTGACATAAAACAAATGTGCATAGTGCTGATGGCTTTCGACATCATTTACATGGTTTATGCAAGGAAAAACCATTTGTAGGAAAACGGCAGATTTAAATAAATGTTTTTATAGAAAATATATACTCAAAAATTTATTACATAAAAATATATAAGCTTCATGACGACAATAATATGGTATCCGAACATATTTGAAAATGTAAGATTTCTCAATGTCGTTTTCAAGGTAATCTGCTAAATTTTTACTATTATTGGTATTTAATTTATGACCATAGAAAAATAGAATAAAGTTAAAAGTTTGCGTTTTAATCGAAATTTTATAGGGTCTTAAACAGTGCGTCGGCCTAAAGTGAGGATGATGTTAGTTAATTGACTATAAGGTCATAATGGGATAAAAACGTGGTTGAAGTTTTTTGCGGGGTCATGGAGAAAAATGAATGTTGAGAACTTTTTGGCGGTGTTCAATGTACGTGTATCTAACCGTTTAAGTAAGTCGAATATTTATTTCGACGTGAAAATTATAAGACATTGTTGCTATGATTATTATTGAAATCATGTCACAATCGTTTCGATATATGTTTGTTTAAAAATAGGCTGATTTTCTCTACGAATTCTCGAGGATATAACTGAATGTATGCTTAGAAAGGCCATTTGGAGATTTACGTCAGTACCATTATATGTGCAAAAAAATCACTTGCTTACGAAAAAAGTACCTTACCAAATTTCATGTGTTTTTAAAATTGGAATCCCTTATTAAATATATCAGACAATATGACACCATCTATCGTGGCAGAATAACGTTTCAATGTAGATATATATGATTACTCAGAAATAGTATGATGTAGGTTTCAGAAAAATATTTTGTGTATCGTGCCAACGTTTCGATCTTTATAGGGATCATCTTCAGGACCTGGGATTTATAAACATTGTTTTATCGTGCCAACGTTTCGATCTTTATTGAGATCATCTTCAGAGCCTGGGATTTACAAACATTGTTCAAATTTAACAAAAACATGTAGGATGTGGAAAAAAGTGAATTTATACAATGAAAACAAAATATATTCAATCAAAGTATTTCTACTCACTCAAAGTGTTTTACGCAGAAAACAAACACTTAGAGTGAGTAGAAATACTTTGATTGAATATAAAAAATTGTTTTTCATTGTATAAGTTCACTTTTTTCCACATCCTACATGTTTTTGTTAAATTTAAACAATGTTTGTAAATTCCAGGCACTGAAGATGATCTCAATAAAGATCGAAACGTTGGCATGTTAAAGAAAATATTTTTCTGAAACCCACATCACACCAGACCGGACGATTTCTGAATAATCATCGACTAACGGTCACTAAACACCGCACACTTATTATTTATATGACCTGGAGTATAATAAAAGAATTTGTAGAAAAATATATTGACACGGGATAAATGCCAGTGTAAAAAAGAAGAAAGAAATTGGGTGAGAGGTAGAAAGAAAGATAGATTTATACATATATAGAAAGATAGGTAAATAGATAGGATAGAAAAGGAAAAGGGAGAGAGAGAGAGAGAGAGAGAGAGAGAGAGAGAGAGAGAGAACGAGAGTAAAGAGTGAGAGAGATTGATAGAGAGAGAGAGTGTGTGTGAGTGAATACGATAGATCTGTAGTATTTTTATGTTGTTTTTATTTTTATATGAGTCCTTTATTAAAGATACCTGACAGTTTGTCACCATGCCTTGAGCCATGATAACGATTTAATTTGTATATGTATAAAAATATTTTTTGAAAAAAAAATGAGCAACGTAAACGTGGGGGACGAAGAGAGTATTAATTAGGACTGTACGTAAGAGGAAGAGGCAAAAAAGATGTGAATGAGGGAGAGTGTTAAACAAAAAAATGTATCTTTCATAATTTTTATTTGGATCTCTTATTAAAGATATCTGTCAGCTTGTCACAATGCAGGGGAGGCAGAAAAACATTTTAATTTAGTTTTAAAAATAGAAACGTAGGGAGGAAGAGAGTATAAATATGAAAGTATTTAAGATCAAATCAAATTCTTTTAGCAAGGGTTGCATATTTTCCAATAAGACTATAATTAATATACTTTAATAAAGTATAATACAGATTCATATCTAAAGATACATATCTAAAGAAAATCAATACAATGTAAAATAAAACACAGAAAAAATGATATTTTTTACATAAATAAATACATATTTTATTGTAATGTAATTTTGTAAAAAATCATTCAAACAGAACAGTATTCTAATCAAATGTGTGGTGATTAGTGACCGTCAGTCGATGATTATTCGGAAATCGTGAGATGCGGTCGGTGTGATGTAGGTTTCAGAAAAACATTTTCTTTGTCGTGCCAACGTTTCGATCTTTATTGAAATCATCTTCAGGGCTCAAATTGTTTGTTTTCTGCGTAAGTGTGCCATTCTTGCGTGTCGTGTTGAGAGTGCGTGAAGATGATCTCAATAAAGATCGGAACGTTGGCACGATAAAGAAAATGTTTTTCTGAAACCTACATCATACCAGACCGCATGTCACGATTTCCCAATAATCACTCTAATCAAATTTTGTTTCCCCTAGAAAAATTCATTACACGTAAAAAGGCTGTAGTGACAAGAGGGAAAGAGAGTAAGAATAGGGAGAGAGAGAGAGAGAGAGAGAGAGAGAGAGAGAGAGAGAGAGAGAGAGTGAGAGAGTGAGTATGAGGGAAAGATAATGATTAAGAGACATTGCTATATGTACTAAGCTCTATTCAATTTGTCTATATAATCTTAATGGCATATTTATTATCTATCTAAACATAAATTTGAACAGCAAACTGTGATGTTTACCCTTGATTCTTTCTTGGTTTTACTCATTTAACAAATTTACAGCAGGGAGACAAAAAAATTCAATAACAAACACAAAACTGAAGACTGTGAGGTCACGTCTTTGAAAGGAAACAGCGATGATAGGCAGACCATATATTCGGAAACGACGAAAATATATTTGGAAGAAAGTTTTATGACGAGTACTCCTTTTCTCGCGTTAACTATGCAGTTGAAAAAATGGCATGGCTAATAATATTTTTAGCCGAGTTGATTTTTCTGTCCATCAACAGTTATATATTGTTAAAACAACGAGAAAAAATGATACCCAACAAATCATTGTTTTGAAAGACTTTCGAGTAGTAATCAGCACGTGACGATTCTTTACAGCTGGTCATCGCATTGTTGGCAGGGGAAGCGGTTGATTTAATAATAGAAGCATAAAACAGGCGTATGCTTAAAGGGGCCACCTCTCCTTGGATGCCCCACTACTGCTGGGCCGTGGGCCCGCTGTCGCTCCTAACTCCTCAGTTCTCACGTGTTACCGTTCTCGGAAGAAACACTCGTGTGTATGCTGAGATGATCCGACCCGGCTTCGAAGGTCAGCTCGTGTTGATATGAAACTCGTGCAGTCATGCTGTTCATTTCACCATTAATTCTACTTTTCGTCCAGATCGTCGATAATGTGAACTGTGAGTTGATGCACCATCATCTTAAAATGAAATTTTGCAATGTTTTGATAGGAGGGAGCGTTCATTGTAAACAGATGTCACACGCATTGTACACCTAGCTGAGATTTTTCGGGGAAAAATCAGTATATATTTATTAAAACATTGACATTTTATGATTTACCAAATGTGTGTTGACAATAATTGCCCAGCCAACCATGATTCCTGCGTTAAAACAATTAATTCTTTGACAAGATATATTGTGTACTATTTCAGCCATCAATAAACCTGGCACTTTAATAATTGATAGCCTTTGATAATACAAAGCGGATAACACTAAATAAACATTCTCGTTAATTTTGTCGAGTTGGCAAGTGACATGGCGGCTAATAAGTTGCAAGCACACCTGTGAATAAACACAGTATGTTATTTTCTGTAATAACGCATTTAAAATCAATGATAATTAACAGAATGTTGCAATGTGTTGTTGAAGGCTTGTACACAGTAATCTGATGTACATTTCATTATTCAGACCTAAAACAAACAGAAAATATATCAGACATATCAAATAGCTTTTTTTTAGAATTGATCTGTGTTTATTTACAGTTCAATTATTTATATATCGTAATGTTTTTGATTCAGCAAATAAAGCATTAGACCTAGTTTGATATTTCATTCGGATTTTTATATTGGCATTGTTATGAACATCCAATGGTGGAAAAGCATCAAACTCGTTTTTCTAAACTGTGCTTTTTTTTCCAGTTTTGATCTCTGTTTATCTCACTTTGCATTTAGAAAAGTAAACAAAGCCTGTGATGACATGAAGACTTTTTTTAAGGCGTTGCGTGCAGTTAAATAAATTACGTATGTGTAACAATAGTTAGCATAAAATTTCTAGATTTTCACCTGAACGATTTGGAAAAGAACGTGATACTGCATGAGTATGGTTTTGCCAGGAAGTCATTACATTCCGATCACATTTCAATGTGATTTAAAGTGGGAAATAGAAAAAAAAAATCAAAATAGCTATGTGCTATTAGCAAGTATTTATTGTCCTAATAAATCGACACACTTAGCCTAAAATAAAAATTTAACGAAAAAGTTTTCTTAGTTTCTTGATTTCGAAATATACGCAAGCTTATAATTTTAAACAATAAATAACAACCAATTGAACAAATTTAAGAAGAAAATTTTATATCATAACAAATACGTTTTCAAAAGAGCCATTTTATAACATTACCTACTACACAAAATCAATAAAATTTCATTCGATTCTAATTCCAAGATAATAAAAAATGATTATTCGGAGATCGTGAGATGCGGTCTGCTGTGACATACATTTTGGGAAAAACATTTTCTTTATCGAGCCCAAGGCCATAGGCACGTTAAAGTAAATGTTTTTCTAAAAAGCTACATCACACCAGACCTCATTTAATGATCTTCAAATAATCATTGACTAACGGTCAAGGCTAATAAATTAATTAAAAATAGTCCATAGAGATAAATGCCTTACACAACTTGGTTCTTTCAAATTAGGTTTATCAGGGGTCAATTCGAATATTATAGCTAAATATAAAACAATAACAAAAACAAGGCTAATAATTTAATCGAAAATGTTCTAAAAAAATAAAGACCTTGCCCGACTTTTATAATTATAATTTTCGGGCTTTTATAATTAAAGCAAATCTGAGGTAAATGTGTGGTAATTAGTGACCGTTAGTCGATGATTATTCGGAAATCGTGAGGTGCTGTCTGGTGTGATGTAGATTTCAGAAAAATATTTTCTTTATCGTGCCAACGTTTCGATCTTTATTGAGATCATCTTCAGGGCCTGGGATTTAAGTTTAACAAATACATGTAGGATGTTGAAAAAAGTGTAAAAAATTTTTTTTTAAATTCAATCAACGCGTACGCAGAAGACACTTTGAGTGAGTAGAATTGATTGAATTTAAAAAAATATTTTTTTGCAATGCATAAATTCACTTTTTTTCACATCCTACATGTTTTTGTTAAATTGAAACAATGTTTGTAAATTCCAGGCCTTGAAGATGATCTCAATAAAGATTGAAACGTTGGCATGTTAAAGAAAATATATTTCTGAAAACATCACACCAGACCGGACGATTTCTAAATAATCATCCACTAACGGTCACTAAACACCACATGTTTTATTTATTAAAGAACAATTTCAAGAACTAGTAAATTAAGTACTATTCTATTCTATGAATTCAAATTCGGTCTCTCAGAATAACCAGTACATTTGAATGAACCAGTAGAAGGAAGGATGCAAAACATGAACAAACCACTAGTTTCCGTTTAACAAAATTTTAATGTTGGGATACCTATTTACGGTCAAATAACGTAGGAGTCAAAAACCAAATTTGGATAAAGACGACTTGAAAAATATTATGTAGTACAACCCAAGCAAAATGGATAGGAAGACGGTAGCAGGAGTTGGCTTTTAAGATTTCATTTCCCAGCATGTAGGCAAAATAGGAAAACTAATCTGGTCGTTACCAATCATCCTGGTCTCCCTCTGGAGTCGTAGCTTACTGGTCAGAGAAGGTCGTTCACCAACTGTGGTCCCTTCCATCTCAAGGCACATAATTATGGAAATGTATTTATGTTTCTAGTAAATTGTTTGAGCATAATGAATTAAACAAAGCCTGATAATTTCCGCATCAGCCCGTGAGAGAAAATGATTAAAATATCATCGTCATGTAAAAAAAATAAAATATCATGCGAAACCAGAGTGAATATATGCTTTATGTTTATTCTATGAGGGCAATAGTTTGCTTTGAGTACCAAAAACAAGAGTTTACTAAAAAATAGAAGATGTGTAAGACTGTTTAGTCAATGAAGAAAATCATCGCATCCTTGCGGAAACTGGCCAGACGTTTTGTAACAAAAATTACACCACCAGGATGCAGCGTTCTTCATTCGAAAAGGCCTCATTCTTTTTCATAACAATGGAAGACCTTAAAAATAAAATCAATCAAAACTTCAATGGATTTTCATTGTTTCATTCCAGGAATGTTTTGTTAGAGTTATTACAGTATAAGTTTTAAAACAAGTTGCCTCGAAATTGCCTTTCATAACTTTATTGATTGATACTTGATACATTTCATACGTCATAAACACCCTCGTCGGAATATTTTGCAGAAAAAATGGAATTATTTCAATTAAATACTTGACGCTAATAATTTATAAGATGATTGATTGGTTAGCTTCTAAAAACGGCTGTTATACATGGAAAAATTAAATGACATTACTCTTGTTAAAGGACAGTACTACTTTTATTCTCTTGTGTTTTGTAATGAAAGGTCTTCATCGTCTTATAACTCATATATCACACATCTGTGTATGTATATTTATGGTTTATTTATATTATATTTAGGCTCGTTTTAGATGAGCGTTTTCGAAGACATCACGACCTTCTTAAATTCCCCTCGTTGTGTTTTGCTAATATATGATTTATTAACTTCTTTTTACATTAATTCTCCAACCGTTTTGTTCGGAGACTTAGTGAGAAGAAAGAACTTCTTTTCTGTGTTTTAAAGTCAACCTGTGGCAAGTATCAGCTATGATAAANCGTTGGCACGATAAAGAAAATGTTTTTCTGAAACCTACATCACACCAGTCCGCATCTCACGATTTCTAAATAAACGTTAAATATATAGAAAACTCTCCCAAGCTGCATCTGTAACTGTCCTGTAAAGGGATGTTTTCTTTAAATATAGAAGCTTCTTATCAGAGGTTTCACTGTGATAATTAAATTTCTGAAATATACAATCAATAATATTACAAAAACTTACCTAAAATATGAGTGATTTTTGTGCATAATTACGCGATATTTACTTGCAACTATTAACTAGCATTTATACACAGTTTAGGCCGTTATTTAGTCATTTGTTTTAAACGCTTGATGATATCTCTTTTGTTCACGAATCGCCCTGATTAAGATCTTCCCGGCCACGATTCCGATTCTCACAGAAAACGAACCGTTTCGACAATCCAGGTGGATTTTACACGGATTTTATGCACCAGTGCCCCTCGGGTTAGCCGGGTATGGAAACCACCACGCCAACGATCGCCTTATCGGGATACGGATATATTTTATTGCCCGTGTTTAGGACCTGTGAATAAGATTTATTATCTTTATCGCTCCTCTCCGTTTGCCTTCGCTTGATTTACCCACTGTTGGCGGGAAAAAATTGGCCCAAAACAAGTCCAAATTATAGCCGCAAACGTTCTTCTGTACAAAAATCCGAATATGTTATTTTCACAACAAATTGGAAGGGTCCATTATGCAAATTGCGAGATGCTCTCGGGCACAACTCTTTTAAGGCACATTTTATTTATTAACCGTAATGAAAAATTTTTGGATTTTTTTTTAAAAAAAACTGTTGTAAAATTAATTATTAAAATATAAGTGTAGGATTCGCAAAAACAGAATTAATTATTATACAAGAAGGTTTTAAGTACGTCCTAAAAAAAAGTAGATTTTAAATTAAAATGTACATGAAAATTACTTAGAATCAGAATAAATTGTTTTTGTTTTTTATTATTTATACCAAAAACGATACAATTAACGTTCATACCTATTAATAAGTTTTCTCCTTATTAACGCCGTATTAAACAAAATTTAAAAATCAGGAGATTTTAAGTTTTCATGATCTATACGATTACCTATCCATGATAAACAATATTAATATAAATCCAGATATGTATGTAGTAGACATATTTGACCGTACTAATTATTTTAATCAATGATTAATCGGAGATCGTGAGATGCAGCCCGGTGTGACGTAGGTTTTAGAAAAACATTTTCTTCATCGTGACAACGTTTTGATCTTTATTGAGATCATCTTCATGTCCTGGGATTTAAAAACATTGTTTATATTTGACAAATACATGTAGGAGTTGAGAAAAAAGTATAAATTGATACAATGCTAGAAAATTTTAGATGAAAACATGAGTACAATGCTAGAAAATTTTAATTTATAAAAATAAATTTATACAAT